CTTTATAGTGGGCAGCTTTTATCTTATCGCGGCCACCATCGTTGTAGGTAGTCGTACACTAAGTACTTATTACCTAGTAACGTAACCCATGCATTCAATCAATGCAGGTGGGCATTTTATCTTCTTGTCTTTCTTCGATATCACCACTTTTACAGCATTACCTCCTTCTCTACACCAATACGCCAAACATTACCAACGCAAAGTCGAACAGTAATACAACCCCACAACCTCACCCATACGATTTAATTATTACAACCACCATCACCACCACCATCACCACACCACACTACACAAGAATCATGGGCAACGACGGCGGTTCCATCCCCAAGCGCCGCGAGCTTGTCAAGGAAGCAGCGCGCCAACCCACCGCCTCCGAGCTCAAAGCCACCGCCCTCGAATCACAAACACACGCCTGGTCCTTCTGCCCCCTATCCTCTTCTTCTTCTACCTCCTCGTCCGATGCGCTGGACCCCCACAACACGGTATCGGATTGGCGCGGGCGCCTCTACAACTACGAGTCCGTCCTACGGTGTCTGATGCCCTCCTCCTCCGCAGAAACCTCCGAAGCAGGCGAGTCCGAGTCGGAAACGAAGAAGGACGAGTTTGCGCGCACGGGAATAAAAAGCCTAAGAGACGTCGTGAAGCTCAAGTTCACGTTACGGTCGGCTACGGATGGGAACGGTGGCGAAGAAATCCGAGCCTGTCCCGTTAGCATGAAAGAACTCGGCGCCGCCACGAAGGCCGTATACATAGTGCCATGCGGGCATGTATTCGCCGAGGTGGCCATGCGCGAGGTGTTAGCCGCCACCGATGCCGAGACAGGAACGACGGAGCAATGTCCCGCCTGCAGCGAGTCCTTCACTGCGCCCCGCGACGTCGTCCCCGTACTGCCCACAGACCCCGCCGACATCGAGCGGTGCTCGCGGCGCATCGACGAGCTGAAAGCGCTAGGCCTCACGCACAGCCTCAAGAAGGACAAGGCTGCGTCGGGTGACAAGAAAAAGAAGAAGCGTAAAGCCGAGAACGGAGCCGAGGAGGAGAATGGAAATGGAACGGAGGTAAAAAAGAGTAAGAAGGAGAAGGGCGGCAAGGACACCAAGAAGAACGATATCTCGAGTCGCATCAATAACTCGATGACCGCCTCCCTGACGGCCAAGGTGCTTGCTGAGCAGGAGGAGATGAATAAGCGGAGGAAGATGGCGGCGGCGATGGCAAGGGGATGATACAGAGACCTACCTACTAAGTAAGGAGCAGGAAGGGTGAGACTTTGGAGGGCTGATCTATCCGGGTATAGCACAACCCCTAAAGGAAAGACATAATACCTACCACCAAGCATATCTACGTGCCTAGTATATAAACCAATGTTCGGGCTGGGTATACCTAATGGGATATGAAATGTACATCAGGTGAAATAAGTGTCGTTGTCACAGTCCCATCTGCCAGCCTTACCACTTGGCATCAGCTGACTAGATGTACCTGTGTACTTTACGCATTGACCACCTATTTGTCCACTAGGAAACCAGAGTACTTATATTTCCTAGCATTTACTGTAGCGTGTGAGGAACCTTTCCTTTCTTCCTCACGCAATTCTTTTTCATACACAATACAGAGATTACTTGAGCCTTCGTGCCTTGGATTTATTGTGGGATCGTGACAGTCGTCCAATTTTTCCCGCCGCAATATTTACAAAATACACTTTAATTTTACAAATTAATTAAAAATGCTATTTACATTATTTAATATTAAACGTTTTTATATTTATATAATTTAATTTTTAAATTAAATAAATTAATAGCTTGTTTATTTTTATAATTTTTATTTAATTTTATATTAACAATATAAAATAACCAGAAAATAATAATGAAAATTTATTATAGTGGGTTATACTGCAGTTATAGCGCATTAATGCGGGGTAAAGAAAAAATAAAAATAAAACTAAAAACTTTAAATATTTATAATAAAATAAATAAAATAGTTAAAAATATACTGTTAATTTATAGTTATTATTTAATTATTAAATTTAATTAATACATTTTTATTTAACTTTTAAAGTTAATAATTGGCTTTGTTAGTGCTATTGAACTTAAAAGGTAATGAAAACAAAAAATTGGACGACACTTATTTCACCCCACTGTACTATTACAAATTATGTCTTTCATATTTGATACAGTGTTTGTAATGGAGTACTTAGGTACTTAGTTTGGGGTAGATAAATACAAGGGATCTAAGATACTGTTAGATAGCTGGAGGTAGGTGACCTAGATACCTACACGAGGCGAGTAGGTAAGTGATGCTCCTTAAAGTCTATACTTACCATATATACCTATGCATTAGGTACCTATGTATCAAGTGTATAGATGCGAAGTTAGCGTGGGTTTCACGAGTAAAACCACCTTCCCTGGAGTCTAACCTACCTACCTACTAGTCAAACGGGAGACGGGCTATTGGAGCTTCTGTGGCTGAAGCTACACTAGAGGAGGTTAGAGATTTCAGGGTGGGGCTTGACGGTAAAGCCATACATACTTAGGTACACAGGTGGTCGGAACTGACAAGGGGGGGCTACCTAAGCTTCCAGCGCTTTGCTGTCAATTACTACCTACCTACTAGGTACACCAGACCTACTTACCTACCTACCTATTTATCTTTCTCCAAGTTAGAACATCTTGTTCTTCTTCCCAATACCTCATAATCTACTTTCTCACCACAACAATTGGAAGAAGAAAAAGAAAGACAAATAACAAAACCCCCACACAATGCGGCAATCTCAGGCTTTGGTGCTCATGGGCATCATAGCTCGGAATGGGATTGCTACAGCCGGATCTTTACCAAGAGGAGTTGGTCCTGAATGTTTGTGTTCTATCTCTTCCTTCTCTCCCTTGTACTGCTTTTTCAGATGATGCTATATCCACCAGACCCTCCCCACTATGACCACGACCATAGCCATCACCGCCAGCACTTACCTTCTCAGATAATGACCTGGGGGTTCCCCAATGCTAACCAATTGATCCGTTTCCAGTCGTCAAGTTCTACGAATCCAAGGACAAGTTCAGCTGTATAGGCCACCCTGCCATAACTATCTCGTCCTCTCAAGTCAACGACAACTCGTGCGACTGCCCCGACGGCTCTGATGAACCTGGTACGGCTGCATGTGCCCTCCTAGACCCCCTGTCACCCGCACAGCCCCTCCCTGCTTCGCTGTCTGGGTCGACCAACACCACCGGTGCCCTCCCCGGCTTCTGGTGTGAAAACAATGGCCACATCGGTGCCTACGTGCCCTTCATGTATGTCAATGACGGTGTCTGTGACTACGATCTATGCTGTGACGGCACCGAGGAATACGGCAACGTCGGCGGGGTCAAGTGCGAGAACAAGTGCGCCGAGATCGGCAAGGAATGGCGGAGGGTCGAGAAGGAGCGGAAAGAGAACCTCGAGCGGGCTAACAAACGCCGGAGGACAATGGCCAAGGAGTCCAAGGAGCTCAGACGGCGTGTCGAGGCCAAGATCAGTAGCCTCGAGGACGAGATAAAGGGGCTAGAAGCGAAGCGTGACGAGCTGCAGGCGAAGCTGGAAGAAGTCGAACGGTCGGAGCGTGGTAAGGTTGTTAAGAGCGAGGGGCCCGGTAAGCTTGGGGTGCTAGCTGGACTGGCCAAGACGAGAGTCAACGAGCTCCGGGACACCCTCAGCAAAGTCATGGGAGAGCGCCACACACTGCAGGACAGAGTCGCCGAGCTTGAGGGCATCCTGTCCGCCTTCAAAGAGGAATACAACCCCAACTTCAACGATGAAGGTGTCAAGAAGGCTGTTCGGGCCTGGGAAGATTATGCCGCTAAGAAAGTCGACGAGGCTAAGGCCGACCTGAACGAAGACGACATCCTCGAAGTCATGAAGGAGGATAGCGAAAGTTCGGGTATCAATTTCAAGGAGTTTGAGGATGCCGACGAGGGAACTGATACCGATATCTGTAAGCTTCTACTAGGCCACCCAGATATCGACAGAAAGTATCGTCACTAACTTTCCCACAGTGTACAGTTTTGAGGCTTATCTTCCCGCTCCCCTCCGAGACTTCCTACACACCAAGATAGCCAGCCTCCGGCTCTGGCTCGTCGAGAACGGCGTCCTGCCCGACAGCGACTCGGGTAAGGGCGAGTCCCGGCTGGTCAAAGCAGCCCGGGAAGCCCGCGATGCGGTGGCCAACGACATCAAGTCGAAGCAGCGGACGCTGGACGAGCAGAAAGCAGACCTGGGGAAGGACTACGGCGTCGATGACATCTTCCGGTCCCTCAAAGGCAAGTGCGTGTCGACCGAGGCGGGCGAGTACAACTACGAGCTCTGCTGGCTGGATAAGACAAGCCAGAAGAGCAAGAAGGGCGGTGGCAGCACCAGCATGGGCCGGTTCGAGCGTATCGACTTTGACGAGGCCGATGAGGAGGAACGCCACGACGGAAAGGGGCTCGGCCGCGGGCGCCGCATCGTGCTACGCTACGAGAATGGACAACACTGCTGGAACGGGCCCAACCGCAAGACGGACGTCTGGCTCGGCTGCGCCGAGACTGAAGAGCTGTGGCGTGTCAGCGAGCTCGAGAAGTGTGTTTATAAGATGGAAGTCGGCACGCCGGCTGCTTGTGTTGAAGAGGTGACCGAGCCTGCAGCAGGCCACGACGCCAAGGATGAGTTGTGATGTGATTAGAAATATACCAAACTAACTTAAAGTAACGACCCGAGATACGACATGATTATTAGATGAGATTAGATGAGATGAGAAAATAACCAGATGGCCTTCTGTGTATATGTATTGTGCTATTAATGGGGGACTGGAACTAGGACTCAATAACCGTAGTAATTTCCGTATGTGGCCCCTTTTACCTACATCGAAGGAAAAGAAAAAAAAAGAAATGCAAATACCACTTACTACATACAAGCAAACGATAATAAAACTTGAACCAATGAATGACATATATAAATAGGACAACACAGAAGAAACAAAATAAAATAAAAATTTTTGTTCGAGCTGGGGTTCGAACCCAGGACATCCAGTGTATACATACATATCTACCTCACCCCCGAAAAGGGGGAAAAGGAGAGTTTCATGTGAGACTGGCGTGATAAACCACTACACTACTCGAACTTGGGAAGAGATACGGAGGTATTGGGGTTTTTGTGGAGGTAGGGTAGGTAGGTATGTAGGTAGGTATAGGAGGAAAGAGAATCACGTTGTAGTTAGTGTCGGTGTCGATGCTGGTGTTGTGACTTCCTTGTTTACCGTAGGTAGGTAAGCAGGTTACCTAGGGGATGGAATTATTGTCCCCCCTCCCCCTCCCCCCCCCCTATTCTGATCGGAAGAGTATTAGATCCCGTGGAACGAAGGTACGTATCGGCATGGAAAGCCTCATGGGAGAATATGATATTATTTCTGGTATACCATACGGGACCAGTGCCGTTGATGGTAGAGATATTCCATGACTACCTAATTGCCACATATATCAATATGATGGGTATTTGATATAGCATACCCCGGTTCATCAGACAACTCCCCCCCCTCCACCTCCTTCTCCAACCGTCCTTCCCATCCCTCACCCCTTATAACCATATCACCCTGTCGAGTAAACATCGCTATACATATATACCTACTTACCTACCCAACCCAACCCTTCGTTACACTCCACTCCCACTCCCTACATCTCCGCCTCCGTCTCCGCCTCCCTCTTCCCCGGGCTCTTAGCCCGGGGTTCACCCCGCCTAGGCTCGTTCTTGGAGCCGGCCTGGTTCGTGTAGTCGCCCCCTTGCTTCTCGTACTCTTTCGCGAGCTTGTTCGCCTGTGGTTCAGTCAGTCAGTTAGTTGGGAGTCAGCTGTCTGTTCAGGGGGGTAATGGAATACCTTCCACGCGGACCACTGCCCCTGGCCGCCGCCAGACTTGTTGGGCTCTTGCTTTATCTCTGGGTTTTACGATGCTTAAGTCAGACTATGTATTTATATTTTTGGTAGCCCCTCATCCTCTGAGATGACCTAGGTATAGTGTTTGGAAGTTTCGAGGTTCTGGCTTGCTCGCTTGCCTTACCCTCTTTGATTTGCTCCCGGAGGTCCGGGTCGGTTGGGTTTCCCTTGGAGGAAGGCATTTTTTCTTTTATATCGTGGGTGTCGGGTAGAGATATTGGGAGATGTTAAGAGTATGGTTGTTTAGTGTTTTGGTATAAATGGGGTTGTTTAGGTAGGTGGCGGAGAGACAGCTGGATGTAGATGCGCTCATATACTATATACTGCTTGCTGGTCTTACTAGTATATATAGCATAATAGGTGGGTAATATATCTAAATACTCACTTGGTTTCTTGTCCGGTCAACGGACTTCGATCGATGACGCCTGGTATCTGTCAACCGCATCGTGGTGGTCCCCGACTAGAAGTGGTTAAGACCACCTCTGTTAAGCGTTGGTAACATGTTAGAGACAAAGGGGGATCCGGCGCTTGTTCTTGGCGGTGGTATAAGTCGTGGCTGAGTCATTACATCACCATTTCAGATAGCAAGGCAAAACGGTTTTCATACAGTACATAATTGTTCATTATTTTGATATCTTGCAGTTGTTCGGAAAGTCGAAGTCTAAATTATGACTATGTATGTGCCGGGGAGGGCGAGGACAGCTTGTATGTTAGTTCCGGACCATATAACAAGATTGAAGCAACATCATAATCAAAATAGGATTTGCTTTTATATAAGTGACATTCGTGCATAATCTAGGGAGTCGATTGTTGTGAAATATACTACCAACATGCTGCAATTGCTTACACTGACAACCATCCGCCATTTTATCAAAGCCGTGTCATCTTCAGAGGACAATGACTCGTCTAATTAGTAGGCTAATAAACCATATTATAGTTAGAAAATATCGACGAGGGAAATGTCCTCCAATTTTCTTTTTGGTTTCCATCCTTGAATATTCTATTCGGTCTCTTCAGTCGAGGAGTTAATTATGTATTCTGTGCATACCTTCCATATCATTTTTCACTCGGGCTGATCTGAGTAGGTACCCTGTATTCGTTGAAAAAAAAAGTCTCATTCTGCCTCAAGCCTCTAGAGCGTAGTAATCTCTTCGATTGGGCGGGCAAAATCCGCATATCAAACCATTCTCTTTCATCCTCGTCCCGCCGCAAATCGCCATGCCCCCCTCGCTTATCTCCAGCTTTAAGCTTCTTTCTGCTATGGATATGCTTGCTGAAGCAAGGGAGAAGGACATCCAAATTTCCAAGAAGCCAAATAATAACCCCTTTACAAGAATCTCTCGTCGATTTATCTTCGTGCTGGCAGGAAGGACTGAATGGGAGGCTCCTATAGACATACGTAGCTAAGGTATATAACCTACCTAGACACCATAGTCCTATATCGAATTGTTATCGACCTCATCGTAGTAGCTAGCTTCCAAGGTTGAAAAAGCATAAGACTTATCGTAGGCCACCAATTTGCCACAATCAGTGCGCCAGGGACTGTTAAGTTACGTGCGGCTGAGTGTCATAAGCCTCCGAGGTTTATGTATGCCATTGGTAGCTTCAGCTGCCAAGGTCGCCTTCATTAAGTGCGGAATTGGGGTATAAGTACTCAAGGAGGGTTCTGTCTGGGCAGAGAGCCATTTCTATGCATCCCCATAACTCTTGCACGAGCGGCTTTATGCACGTACTTCTAAGAACTCGCGATGGATGTCGCAGATGACAGTTTTGATTTCCGAGCGACAATTGTGGACAGATGTAGTGAGGCGTTTGGCTATGCCGTGCTTATTTTTGGTGCGGACTGCGTAACAACGAACGCAACGCGGCATTTGACCCTTGGGATTTATGTTCTATACACGATTGGGAACGTCAGGAACGACTTTAGATTGTTTATCCTACGAGGACTATCTCTACTTCTCTTCTGGTTTCGCTTCTATAGCTCGTCCTTCTCCTTGCTTTCTATATGGGGCGTTTTCCTGATTTCGAAGATGGCATTGATGACATTTGGGAACGCCTCTCTCTGGGTCACCATACCGGGCGTTCGCTTCGATGCCTACTCAATCGTGATAGGGAATCTAGAACTTGCAGCATACTTAACTACTTGGGTACTGTTGTCGTTCATAAGCACCCTCACCAAAACTCTCTTGAGTCCATTTAGGGGGTTATCACCTTTCTTTCAGGCCCTCCTAACGACAGCGGCAGCTCAACTCGTACTGGCGTTTTACATCAATGGATCCATGTCTCGAATTTTAGCGGGCATACGACACGTATTTTCTCGGAGCCAACAGAAAGTGAACGTTCCCAAAGCTGTTCCAGTCCCAACATCGCCATACAAATATTCGAGAAGTTTAACATCAGGGATGGAAATACGACTGTTGAAGCTCCATCCTCGTGCCAATAGTGACGAGGTTTGTTGCGAAGTTGTCTATCATGCACTCGGGAAGTTGCTAGACTACGAGGCCATTTCATACACTTGGGGTGATACAAGTGGAAAGGCTACTATCGTGATTGATGACCAGATACTCGAAACATCGGGAAAGGTTTCTGAGATATTGCAATCTCTGCGTTACACTTGGAAGCCACGCTTGCTGTGGATTGACTTCATCTGTATCAACCAGGATGATACGGATGAGAAGAATCACCAGGTGCAACTCATGAGACATATCTACCATCGAGCCGTTACTGTTGTTGTATGGCTTAGTCCATTGCCCGACACGCCCGAGGCAGTGGATTTACTAATGGAGATTTCCCGACGCAGTCGACTTGAAGGTTTAACTGGTCAACAAGGGTTCTATATTTACGGGCAACGGAACCAGCGATCCCGTGTCTTGTCTCTCGCCAGGTTCCTAGCGAATGACTATTTTAATAGACTCTGGGTGGTGCAAGAAATTGCTTCAGCACGAAAGATCAAAGTATTATGTGGCAACCAGGCTATTGAATGGGACGATTTGAGGTCGATACTGCAGTTTCTCGGTAACCCTGAGATGTCCCGCTCGCTACAGCGCACTGAAGAGATGGATATCATCTCATGCAACCAAGACAGTTTGAGTCATGGACGGACGATCTGCCACACGAAAGCCTGCATGGAAGAAGGCACTTCGTATAGCTTGGCCTATGTACTTCATTCCTTCCGAACTTTCAAGTGTAAAGATCCCCGCGACAAGGTGTTCTCGCTGCTAGGATTGATTCGCAATGCGGACCATCCCCTCATACTCCCCGATTATCATAAGGCCGAAGTTCAGGTGTACAAGGACGTAGCTCGTTATGTTTTCACAGTTGAACAGACTTCCCGGAAGTTGTTTGCTCTTGCCGTTGCGGGCATTGGATATTATCGAAGACTGGCGGAATTGCCGTCGTGGGTGCCCGACTGGGCATCTAACATGCGGAGAAAAGATGACCAAGGCGGAGAGGAAAATCTCGACGAACCGCTTCCGGCCTCAAACCAAAACGTGTTTTCCTATCAGGTACAGACAATTAGCAACTATGGGAATGGCAACGACATCATGCGGCCGGATCAGCCTCACTTCGAAGTATCGACTGTCGATCTAGGCTACCGGGCAGCCCTTAACACCGAGTCCCAAATAGATTTGCTTGACGACAATATTCTAGCGATCCAGGGCTTTCTAGTCGACGAGATAGACAGCCTGACGGCAGTTTTTGATCTTCCGTTTGACGAAGATATGTGTATCTCGCATACGGAGATGACCCTGGCCCATATGACTTGGTTTACAGAAGCCGAGGCGTTGGCAGCACGAGCTCCACTCCCCTACCCTACAGGCGAGGACATTGAGGACATCGTATGGCGTACATTGACTGGAAACAGGCTGCTACAAAGCAACGATCGCAATTTTGTCCGGCCGGCCCCCCCTGAGTATGCTAATGTATACAGAGAATTCAAGGCTGCATCGAGTCAGGTCCAGGAGGTACTAGACCTGGTTGGGCTCCGTGTTATTTCCGAAGTGCGAGATATTTCAGCTGAACTCCTTGTCAATACGGCCAATGGTAAACCCATATCTGAGCTCTGGATGCAAGTAGTTTGTGGTCGTTCGGGCCATCCAGAGATATGGAAACTCATCAGCCATGGGACGAAGTTTGCCGACGGGAGCGGAAACTTGCCTGATTTTCCTGAAACCTCAGGGGATGCACAATTC